CCCCTTTTCTTTCTTTTCTTTCTTTTCCTTAACAATTGTATTTAATATTTTAAATAATACCCATCAATACTGCTACACTGAGATTCTGGAAATCAGCCAAGGTAATGAAATGCAATGTATACATGACCTTTATATTTAAGGAATAAAAATAATTTTCATGTGTTAGCCTGTGCAATGCTGTCCAAGCTCTCATCTACTGTTAATGTTCAAGAAGAATGGCTGCTAATTTGGTTGTCATAACAACTACAGCTCTACTGTCACATTGTCTTCCTCAAGTGCAATTTGTTTATAAACCTCTAAATTGTTTCATGTTCCGATATTAACCTCAAACAGAAATAAAAATCTCAGGCCAGTGAAAAACCCCAAAAGGAAAAGAGTAGCTGACAATTTATATTAGAAAAGATTTTGAATTTTTACTCTACTATTTAATTAATAGTAAAAAGATTTTAATGTAATTTTCAGAAGTAACTCATACTCTAATTATTGTATAGGGCAACATATCACTTTCAATGTTATATTAAGTCAATAACTTAATTTAAAACAAGGAAAACCTTAGCCTGGGTTTCCCTTGTACTAATATGCAATCTATTACGTAAGGGTTGCCCACAATGTTTCAGAAGTGTGGTTCGCCAAATCCAGTATCCTATCTCCAAAGTGGGTTAATACCAGATGCTTCAAGGCAGAACTAACAAAACCTGGAATTTCTGTTCTTTAGGGGAAAAAAAATCTAATGCCCATTGTTGTCTGAAAACTGGATCTGAAAAGGATACATTGTAAAATTAATTGCTGAACAGAAATTCCAGAAATAATTGATTTGAAAAAACAATATATACAATATTTTTCATCAAATCAAGATATTTACCCCATTTAATGTAACTGAACACAAGACCTTCATTACCCCCTCCCATTCAATACTAAATTTCATTCCTGTAGGGTAGTATATTGCTTTGTGAAGGAGCAGTTCAAAGTCGATGCTCCATTTCCCCCCCCCCTTCCAAACAAACAAACCAACCCTCCTTAGCTCCCTAACCCACTGCAGAAGTCACAGCTTGGAGGTGTGAACAGTGAATTCTTGCCATTGGGACTAGTAATATTTTTCAGATGTATTTTGAGAGGATAGCTTTTTCCTCTTATTCTTTTCTAAACTAAAGAGTTCTAACAGTTTACTCCCCCTTCATGTTGAAACCTTTCCATATCTGAAACTATTACGGTTTTTTTCATGTCCTTCAGTATTCTGTCGGTGCAGAATAAGAAAATCCCACATGGTGTTCGAGGAATGGCATACCCTTGCACGCAAACAATGGCACTGTGATATCCGCAATTATGGTTTCCATCCCCTTCTGTAGGAGAGGTTAACATCCTCCTTGCCTTTTTGATTGCCACCGTACACTGAGCAGATGTTTTCGTTCAGCAGCCCGCAATGGCATCTTCTGCTAGAGTGATCATGATTCGTTCAGGATACATCACCTCCATGAGAGTTAAAATTGCCCCACTATCGCCTTGCAGTTGTCAACACTGAATTTTACCTATCAGATTGCTTAAGAATTAGCTATCTCTGCACATCTCTGAGGTATAGAATATAAACACATAAAGCAAATACATTTGGAGTGTTGCTTTGCCATCCTATTTGTGTCAAGCTTCGCCATTTGTTTTTCCTAAAAACTTCTAACCTCTGATACGCTCCCTCTTCCTCTCTCCATCAAAATACTTCGATAGCCTCAGAGCACTTTGTAAAGATTTTGTGAATGTTTAGCTGCGTTTATGAAGTGAGACAAAGTAATGTTCCAGAGTAAGACAGAAAGATCCCCAAACTGGAAACATTCCAACTATTAAACCATAAGGACATCTAAATCATGCCTGCTTAGATTTAAGAGAGAAACTGCTTGAAGACTACTGATATCTAACAATTAAAATGCTGACGTGTGAACCTCTCCGGAAACAAAGTGAAACTATTTTGAGTTTGAGCCAAAATAGAATTTGTGAAGGGGAAAATTATAGAAAGAAAACTGGAAAAAAATCAGGGACCATGAAAGATTTTCCTTAAAATTGGCATCTAGCAAGAAAAAAAAAATATTATCATTCACAGAGATGTGTTCTTTCCCAGATGCCCTTTAACCACCCTCTGGTTTCCTTTGTACAATTTTAATGAGAGAGAAGCACCACTTACATATTGCTTTTTGCCTATAACATCCAGCCCGTGTTTTATTTTTCTATCTCGGTTTTTTCAATTGATTTATCTTCTACCAAGTCAAGGTGCCCTAAAAGGAACCCAGAAGGCTATTTTAAAAATATGTATTTCATTGGGTACTCAGACTATTATATAGCTGAGTGTGATGGAACATATTCTCACATTTTGAACAACTTAATTCTACAGCTCCTGGTTTTTAATGAATCTGATCTGATCCCAGTTATAACCATTAAATATCAGTTCGTTCTTACATACCTATAGCGACACCTCCGCCTCTGGAATGGCTCAGGGCTGGGCATTTCCGTGCTAGTATCTGTGGTGGGAGTGTGTTTAGACAAGTCATTCCCAGACGAGATTCTGGTTCCTTGGAGGTCAACAAACACTTGGTATTTAATAGGGTCACAAAATCAGCTAACCTATCCCCTAACTTGTGCCGGGGGACAACAGGGTAGGGCTTGTCAGGCTGCAGAGCTGGGCTAGTCCCATTTATGTGAATTAAACAGAAGACGCAGCGGCGCAGCACCTCTTGGAGTCACGCATTAGTATTTCAAATTGGACTTTTTTTTTTTTAAAGTTAGTTTATCCGCAGCATTGCTCCCCGAGACCATCATTTTGGTCTGCCCTAGCATTTTGCTGCCATGAATAGGTTTTCCACCCTGTGGAGCTAGGAATGGAAAAGAATCGAGATGCCATGAACAGTGCTTAGTAATAAGTGTATTTAAAAAATCTACCCCAGTTTCTCTGGCTTATCTATTTAGCAGTCAATAACCAAATAAAAGAGTGGGAGGACTTAAATAGGAAACCATAGAATGGGTAAAACAGAAAAGATTAAGACACAAAAAAGATTAAGACCAAGATAATTTTGGGAGTAGCATTTTATAAAAAAAAAGTTTGAAGAGGGAAGGTGCTCTAGGCTCTGACATACACTCCTAAAATCAAGCTTGGATACAAGCAGTGATCTTCTTTCAACAGCAGAGAAACAAATACGATCTGGAATTGTGCCTCTGAAATTAAACAGTCATACATATGATACTAATGAGGAGCCACCTATCTCTCCCTGACAACCAGTATGCTCCACCCAAGCAAGCAAGCAAAGAATTTGACTCTGCTTTATTGAACAGAGATTATAGAAAATCTGGTAGTAAAAAATGCCTTTGGGCAAAATGCAGACTGTCCCAGTTTGCATTAATAGAAAGATCAAACCAGATCTGTTAATGTGTTTCTATTACAGAAGTGAAAGTTCTGAAAACCTAAGGGAACAAATTACTTAAGTCAGACAGAGAACTTACTGACTTGGTAATTGATGGGGCTTGAAAATTACTGAAAACTGCCCAAGCAAGGCACGTAGAGAAGTAGTCCAAATCTAAAGAGACCAATTACAACTTCGGCAGCACATAAGGATAACACAGTTTGCAATGAACGGAGAACAGGACTACTCATTTTGAAACTTACAGTGTGCAGGTGTTACAGTGTAAAAATACAAGCTAACAACTGGAGAGCTGCACAGATCAAAATCAGCAAGTGTACCTAACCTATACTCAAGAAATCTTGAAAGAATTAACTGTGCAGATTAGATTAAAAAGGCTACAAAATTGTACTAAAATTCCTTTTTAAAGGAAAGATTAATAAATAATGGGATACCATGAACACAGGTTTATCAAATAATAGTTTGACTAACACGATACATTTAGTCAGCTAACTTATCCAAAACAGGACTGATGTGTTTTAATTTTTGTATGACTTACTAGCACACACAGCATGGGAGCATACAGCAGGTAACACCTCAAAGACAGGAGGTTGGAGGTTCAGATCCCCGCCGAGCATGCCTTACAGCTGCAGTAATAAAAATAATTAAGTAAAACAGCAGGAGATGAAAGGTTATGGGTATTGTGATTCACATCAGCAGTTTTTATAAGTTGGTGGCAGGGCTGGAAACAGGGTCGTACTTGAAAACTTCTTATAACTAGTAGCCCTCAAGACCCCTCTTCTCCTAAATGACCATAACCCATCAACGTAACAACACCGTGAAAAAAATTACAGTTTCAGAATACACCATGAGAGGAGAATGCCTCTATAAATTAACCTAAAAATAACTGGTTTAAGTTTAACCACTCATGCCCAAAGACATATTTAAAAAGAAAGAGTACAGAGAAGGGGATGATATTCAGAAAGTCTGAAGAGTATTTGAGAAGACCACATAGCTTAGTAAAGCTGTTTTAACATCTATCCAGCTAAAAATGTTAAGCCCAACTTCAGTTTTGAAATGCGATTTTTCCAACCTTCTTTTTATACATGCAGGCAATTAGTGTTTAATTTATGTCAACACACTGCAATTTGAAGAGGTTCTCAGTGTGCACCAGTTGTCAAAAGCACTTCAGGAGTTTCACAAAATACACAGCCCAAATCCTTCAGATTTAAGATTTTATTTAGACACATCCAGCATGGTACACAATTGCAGCTATCCTTTTCCCACTGAAAGATGATGTGTAGAAGACTTCAACTCTGGGAAAAAAAGAAGAAAGAATTAACAAATTTAGTAACTCTGTTACCTTTGAATCTAGAAAAGCTGATATGCTTTAATTATAATTTTGATGGGCTTTTCTTCATCCACCACGTGCTTTTGTAGCAGAGCCCTTGACTTACGTGAAATCATACAGTTCTAAATGCTCAAGTTCAATACAAGTCTTCCAATTTTTTTTTTCCTCCTTAGTCTAGGGAGCCAAAACTATCAGACTGGTGAAGGAATTACACAGATGACTTCACAATTTGTTCCAATTATGAGATTCCAGTGAGGACTGTTATTTCCTTCCAAGAACTATTTGGGTTATTCCAGCTCCTCAAAAAGATTAATTGTTTCTTCAGATTATAGAATTGACAATACCAAGTATTTCCAAGGTGGAATCAGATTAAGATAAATTGAAGTGGCTTTTCAACTGGAAATGGTGTGCTTGCACAGTCTGAACTAGGTCTGAGGCTTCCTTTCTCTGTTAGGATCATCAGCAAGCATCAATTAGAATCGCTTCTGCTGTTAATGACCTTATTTTAAGTGTACTTTGTCCTGTAAATGGTTAGGAATGTTGTATGTAGATGGTGTGATTGTTATGACAGGGTTGAACTGAAGTTCAAGAAATCTTGCCTTCCACTGAGTTTTAACTGGCACATCAGAAAGCGTTTACAGTATCACAGTTTCTCATACTGTTTTGTTCACATCACACATGCCAGTTATCTCTACAGATTACATGAAGTGTAGCGTTATGTTTCCTCAAAGAAGAAGGTAGACACAGCTTTGCTTATAGTTATTATCCAAATCAAGTCAGTAGCACCCTTCTGCCAGTCAGCCCAGCTGTAGACTGTCAAGAAGCTGCAGTCAGAGAGGTGTGGCCTTTGGGCAGTCAAAGTTCACAAGTCAATGAGAGTGCAGCAGCCCTGCGAAGCAAACTTAAACCTATTCATTATTTGAGTTTAGATGCAACTGCAGACCACAACTCTAAGCACCTGAACTGCTAAAGGCTGAAAATTGTAATAATGGTTTTAGATAAGGTTAGACTCTTTAAAGCTCAGTTTTGACCACAAATTCCACTATGTTATGAAATCTATCAAAATCATTTACCCATTTAGCACAATTACAGTCTGTCCTCTTCATTTCTTAAGAAGCTGGTGTCTGACTATAACGAAAGGGGCGATAAATCCACTTCCAAAAAACCCACACATCACTGCGAGCAATCTCCATTTGTTGTCCACAGAAAATGGGAGGTTCTAGAACAGAAAAATGCATTTTAGTTTTGCAATCAATACAGTAAGTACTTCCTCATCGACTTGAAAATAGTGAGAAGCTCAGAGCACTAACAGGTGGAGTCAAACTGACAAAATATTCAGTCTCAAAACAATTCCCTTCCTCTCAAGGAAAGAAGCACAGTAATTAGAATAATAGTTTGGATGTGACCTCTGGAGGTCATTTTGTCCACTCTTCCCCTCTCCCCCCAGTTCATCACAGGGCCAGTCTGCTGAAGGCGTCGTCCAGTCAAGTATAAACGTCCCTGAAGATACAGACCCCACAGCCTCTCCAGGCAACCTGCTCCGACACTTAATTACCGACATTGTGAAGGTTTTCCTCACGTTCATTAGGTATGTAAAATAAGTTTTTAGATGTAGGCCTTAGGAGAACATGTTAAGCACAAGGTACATCAGAAAGCGTTTACAGTATCACTGTTGCCCCTCATACTGCAATGCTCATCATCTGTACCACCGAAGCAGAAGGTTGCAGGGAAGGACCCTGAAGCCATTCGCACCACGATTCGCTTTGCTGTGGCCTTTACAGTCGTACCACGGGACCCCAAAGCCCACCTGGAGAACCGGCAACAGGGCAGTCATTACCCTGCTCCTCACAACGGCATCCAGTTCGGTGGGGCCTCAGAACCCGACTATGTGCCAAACCCTTCACGGGGGCTCACCGAGCAGAGAGCTCACCTTGAGCATGCCCGAGGCAGGACGGGCCCGCGCCTCATCCCGGCGCCTACGGCGAGCCAGGGTAGGCCCGCACTGCGGCTCCAACCGTAGGGTTACCCCTCTCCAGCCATCCCCCG